AATTAAAATGTTATGGCTAAAACAATTTATTCTTAAATAAAAATATTGATGTTTATATGTTGTTGAATAAAAAAGAGTATTAGTTTTTAACAGTTCTGATTTCTTTATTGCCCAATTGTAAATATTTCCTACTGATAATATTTTTCTAGTAATTTTTTTATCCTCATATTATGCCCCATAAACGTGTTGCCTGTCAGAAACTGACCTAGATCCTCCACCCTTTGTGCGCCCTTGTATACACTGACGAAATTGTGTAAAAAATGTCACACCCTAGTAATTTTTTAAGAAAAAGGAATTTTTGTATGCTTTAATTTAATTTTTTTAACTTAACCAAATTTAAATTCTTAGTATATTATAATTATGATATGTTAAGAATATTCTTAATATAATATTAAAATCATCCCCTAATCCTTTTTTTAAATTTTCTGTGGTATAGGTTAGTATAATTGCTTGGAGGAAAAATTTTATTGTTACTAAAAATTTTTTAGCAAAAAAAGTTTTTTTTATAAGTTCTTGATAATACAATCATGGTTAAAAGATTATATTTAGTAAATGTTACACTTTTAGGCTTTTTTACATTTAGTAAATTTAAATTTAGTAGGCCTATTAGTGCAGGAAACTTCAGAAAATATATAAAAAGCCCTATATATTTTCGCAAAAATAAAAACAAACAAAACATTTTTTATTTTTATTTTTTATTAATGCAACTTTTTTTTGTACTAAATTAAAAAGTAGGCTGTTTAATGCTGCCAATACTAAATGACCCAGAAAAAAAATGCATTGACTTGGTTAAAAAAGAGGAAAGTCGTGCTTGTACCGTTGAGGCTAGTGGTTGTCAGTTGCAATCGATGCCCTTTTTTTAGCAAATTTGTCACACAAATTTTAGTATAGAAAGATATATAATTGCTTTTCTGTGTAACTTACACGGAATAGCAAATATGTATCTTTCTATACTAAAATTTGTGAGACAAATTTGCTAAAAATTAATGTTTAAAAATTAAGCCACATTGTAAATCATTACACACATTCATATTTAAGTTCTTATGCATTCTGAAAAGTTTTCTGTTCGAAAAGGCACCATCAGCTGTTGCAGAAATTACTTTTAAATTTATACTTTCAAGGTAACAAACAGCTTTCCAAAAAATAGGCATCAGCTTAAATGACGTAATTCCAGTAGTTGAAAAAGTAGCTAAACTGAACGGTAAAGGATTAACAATGCTCTTTATGAGAAACACAAGTAGAAAAATTGATTTCTTTATCACCTAAATCAACAAAACCAATAAGCTCTCCAGTATATTTGTCCTAAACTAAATCTTCTTGGATTTTCATTTCATCAAAAATAATTGAAACAAAATTTTCATGAGGAAGAAATTTTTTTTTTTTTTTTTTTTGCAAGTTCACTTAAGACAGATGGATTAAATCCCCTATTAGGTCGGATGTAATTTTTGTAATTTCTTAAAGTTCTTAAGCATGGAAGAGTTAAAATGCCTAAACCTGTCTGTGGATCATATTGCAAATCGCTATAAGCAGATGGCGATTTAGCAGCTAGATTTAAACAATATTTTATTATTGCAGGGTGGTATCTGATAGATGAAAGATTGGAACAACTCAAATACTTCTGCTGCTCTTCCCAAAACAACTTCATAAAGGGTGGGATGTTTTTTTGATCACTAGCTGAATAAATCAAGATTAAGTCTTTACTAAGTTCTGAATAAATTTTCTTACTACATATATTTAAAGCAGATTTCATTAGTTCAATTTGCTCTTTGTATTGCTTGCATTTAAGTCTGCATTGCTGCAAAGTCAGTTTAAGTCTACTTGGAGAAGTTACAGAGAATGGCACATACAGAGATTGGCGCATTTAATTTAGCTGGAGTCTTAAGAGTAGATCTTTTAGAGTGCATATTAAAATTTACTTTAACATTAAGTTCATGACAAGACTGATTCTTTCCGAAGGCTAATTCAAAAGAGTTGCTGCGATAAAATTCAATTTGATGCAGTTTAGACTTTGATAAAGAATTTTTATAAAAAAAATAATCAAAAGTTTTAGAAACAACATGCTTCTGAAAATTTAACACTTCAATAGGATCAGGAGCTTTTAAATTCTAAAGATTCTATTTCAAAAATAAACTGTTAAAAAAAATCACACTTAGAAATCACCTTTTATATTTCATATATAAATTATGTGTTTCAGGTAACATCCATCCATACACATGAGTAGTAAAATATAAGGAATCTTCTACAAAAATTTCAAATTTTGGAATAACTTGAATAAAGTATAACGAAAATTATCAAAAGTAATAATAACTTGAATGAAGTATAACAAGAATTATCAAAAAATTCAATCTTCTGTAACTTATTTAATGAAGACAAATGCAGAAAATTTTTTTTAAAGTCAGCAAAGTTTCTATAACAATAGGGCTGTGTTAAAGAAGAACTTTCAAGAAGTAATTGAGAATTTTCTCGCTTAGATATAGACGATGAAGATCGAATAACAGAACATGAAGCAGATGGTTCTAAGCTCTTTTTTGGTTAATTTAACGATGGCAGTTCTCCATTTAAAAAAAAATTTTTTGTTTTTGTTTCATAACACCAAATTTGCTTAGGGGGAAAAGTGAAGCTCGCATATCCACAATTTTTTATGTTCAAAATTGTTTATTTTCTTTCGAAGAATATCATCAACAACTCGATCTTTTGTTATAATGTTAATTAATTCTGAGGCCTTTTTTTTTGTTTCTTTTGGAATTTTAAAGAAAGCAACTCCAGTATATCTTCTTGAGGCAGAACATCCATAAATTGAACAGCTTTCACCCAGCATTTGCAATAAATTTGATTGAGTTTTTACAAGAAAAATAGTTTATTAGATAAAAGACAGGATTTTTAAAAACTTGCGCAGGGTTGGAGATCTGGGGATAGCAAAAATCGGATACAATAAGTTAAAACAATCGGTCATTGTTTGTTTCTAGACTATCTATTTCTTATGACTAGATTTTAAAAAGAATGTTAAAAAAATCTTTTTGATTAAAGCAAAAGAGTAAGTGAAAAGAAAAATCAACTTTTTTATTTTAGTTGAAGCTCATCTTTTCTGTTTTGTTGTAGGTCAAAAAGTCAGCGTAATATATGCCGCAATTTCTTAGCATATAAAACATAAATAATACACTTTTTTATACTCATAATAATAGCATTATGATACTTTGGTATCAAGATGATGCCTAAATTACTATCTTCATAAAAAAATGACAACTGAAAAGACATCAATTGCAATGATTGAATAAATTGCCAAGCTTTGGATTAAAGGCTGAGCTTTTTGGATTAAATTATTTTGGAATCATTACTGGAAACAAGATAGTTCTGATACATTCATAATTTATATGGTTTAAGAACCACACTTATTTTTGGATCAATACTAACATTAATTTTTCAGCAAAATATTTTTTCTATATCAATGTAAAAAAAAAAAGTTATTTTAATAGATAACTAAACTGAAAACAATGAAAATTATAGTGATAAACAATTGATTTAAACATTTCCCCATAAATATTAACTACTCAAAAAAGGCTGTGGTCAAAGATTTGTACCAAAAGTTGCTAAAGAAAAGCCTGTAAAGAAGTTTTAAAAAACTTGTCAGATGTGGCTAGTGCAAATGCTCTTTTTGTAAAAGTTTCTGACAAAATTAGTCTATGTATTTAAACACAAAATGAAAGCTGAGCTTAAAAAGATGCTACCTTAGTTGTTCACTGGGTCAGACTCGCATGAACTGACAAAAAGATTTACGTTGATAGACTTAATACCACAATCTCTAGTTTAGGTGTAAAACAACTACTTACTGTTGCAAAAATACCTAACAAAACTAATCAAAATACCTAACAAAACTAGGCAGTTCCAGCTAAATGTTGACACAACTAATTTGGTATAATTTGTGTTGGTTTTCAATTGGTCTATATTTTTGGCTGATCAACTGTCTAAATTTGCTCTATTTGAAAACTAATTCTCTTTTATCATTATTTAATTATTTTTTCCCTCAAATGCCACTGCTCTTGAATGAATATTTGCGAATTTATATGCCAAACTATTGGCTTGTTAGGGTTAATGAGGGGTCATCGAGCACAACTATTTTTGAAATACAATTACAATATGTCTGGAATAGTTTTTAGAATCAGAAGTCAGAAATAAATCCATGCTTATGTGTTATTAATTGTTTATTTCATCATGGTACTCTGGACTTGTTTAACCTAAGTTCAGGGAAAATTTTTTTACTTTTGTTACTAGCAACAAAGACTTTACTGAACAAAGCAAACAGTACTAACTTAAGGATTACATTTATACATTTTACATTATTTTGCAAGCTCTTTGTTTTTTTTAGATATATTGTCTTTGTTTGAACATATCTTTATTAAAAAAAAATTTTTCTGTTTATAAATATATATCTGTTGATGTTTTTAAATATATTTTTATAATATATATGTTTATAAATATATATATTCTGTTTATAAATATGGTGTCTTATTTTAATATTGTTTACCATATTTTCAGCCGAGTTTCCTCCTTGTGGTCTAAAATTCATGTATATATATATATAATATCTTTTTTAAATAGAATTTTAAAAATTGCTTTTGCTGAAAATGAAAACAGTATTTTACGGTATCAATGAAAAAGTAAAAATCTCTGATTCTTAAAAATGAAAACATTATACTGATAATAAATTTAAAGTATGGTGCTGTCTGATATGTACTAAGTTAATCATTTTAATGGGTAACACTAAGAAATATAATAACCTTTTGTTAGATCTTGCAGCACGCCCAAAATACTTTTTAATGTTATTAAACCAATTAGTATCTTGTAACCAATGTGTTCAAAATTCTAGTTGACTTTTGGTAGGTTATATTTTATAGTATATTTGATTTTATCTAATTTTTTTCATTCCTTAGGTTTTTGCTTATCTATAAATAATTTTATACTATTGTTTAAGTATTTTATTTAATTATTTAATTTGGTTTTAGATCCATTTCTTTTACCTCATGAACAGGTAGATAAAGGAGCTATTCGTTTTGTATTAAGTGGAGCTAATATAATGTGCCCAGGTCTGACATCACCTGGAGCTAAAATGACTCCTGTAGAAAAAGATTCTGTTGTTGTATCTTTTCATACTTTTTATACCTAAAATTATTAAAATAGTTTGTTTTAATTTTTGATTTTAACTTTGGTTAAGATAAAATTTATTATTCATGTTTGCCAGTCTATGTAACCTTGAAATTTTCTTTTTTTAGTATGTTAGCAACATACTAAAAAAAGAAAATTTCAAGGTTATAACATACTAAAAATTAGTTTTTCAAATTCATTTGTAGTTAAAATATTTGTGTAGTATAATTTAATATGAACATTAAGAATATTATTTTTAAAAATATTATCAAAATTTAAAGTGGCATGTATTAAATTTTTAGTAAATATATAAGTTCAATTTTTATATATTAAATATATTTTATTTCAAAAAAATATATTCAAATAAAAGAACCTAATATTTAAAAAAACAAAAAACTTGTTTAACAATAAATTAAACAAAAATGATAAAAATGAAAGTAAAATCTCATCGTCGTCATCGACGTCTATTTGGTGATATTGGAAATAAAAAAAATAAGAAATTTACTTTAAAGTGGCAAATAAAAGGGAAGGGGGTCATAGTAAATCGGACTGTCTCAATTAATTTATAAATAAATAAAAAAATTGACTGATTTTAAAATAATTTTGTAAAATAAGCCAGAAAAATTAATTGTTTTATTTAAACAACTAAATAATTGTTACTTTTTTTCAGGTTTTATTAACTTAATTTATGCCATACGACGTTTTTTTTTAATTTTTTTTATGTTTTATTAAAACATTTTATGTTATCATTTTGTTTATCTAATTTTTATTTATACATTTTTCATTCTATTAAAAATTTAAGTTCCATTAACACGATTATCAAAATTAGGCTATAATGGCCGAAGGTAAAGATCACGCTGTCAGTATAGGATTAACAAAAATGAGCACACAGGAAATGTAATTTTTTTAATTTTTTTTTTACATGATGTTATAAACAAATTTCAATTTTTATTCTCACTACTTAATTATCTTTTATTATCTTTATTTTATTAGAGCAGAGAAAAATAAAGGAATCGGAGTCGATAATATCCACTATTTAAACGATGGTTTGTGGGTGATGAAGCAATTGGATAGATAGCTTTTGTTAATTTTTAAGCAAAAAGAAAAATGATACAATATATTTTTTTTTACTAATTTTAAATTAGTTTCGAAAGAAAAATATTTAAATAAATTAGTAATTTACTTCAATAGTTTTCTTTCAAAACACTGATTTTGGAATTAGGCTGGTTTATATAATATTTAAGTGATAAAAATTTCCGGATTTAATTTTCCCTAAACTTCCGGATTTAAGTTTCCATATATTTCCGGATAATTTCCGGAAATTTATATTGCTAAATTAGCGACATTATTTGCAATATAAACAATATTATTAGTAACCAAAATTAAAAATCGATTTCTAATTTTGTGGTCTAATTTTTTTTAATATAAGTTTTAATTTGATATAATTTTAAAATGCAATTAATGGCACAAAAATATAATTGGCAAAAATGTTCAAATTTTTACATGTGCATGTTTATCAGTAGTTTTTTCATAGAAATAGTAAATAAAATCACGCGGTTAACTGTTCTTTTGGCAAAAACCGAAATAAATACTGGGCTTATCCCGAACCGAATGCTTTATTTTATGTATATAAAAACAGAACTAAAAGACTAGTCAGGACTATTGTCATCAACTACTATTACTATAATGATTAACTTAACTAAAGTCTGATCAGATAAAGGTACTTCATATTAAAATCAGCATATTTTCAAACAATCGACAAGTGTTCATATACTCGAGGCGGCATAAATAAAAAATTTATTTGGTTTTAGTAATGCTTATCTTCTCATTCATATTCTTTAATGCTAACTTATTAAATATGTAACTAAAACAAAGATTGTTTTTTTGTGAAAAGTAAAGTCTCATTGAATTTAATAATATCAAAAATATTCAAATATGGAATAATTGATATTTCAAATAGAAATATCAAATTATAAAATATTTAATATTTCAATTAAGTATTAAAATGGATTCAACGAAATTTACTAAAGTTGTTCTTTCATCATTTCATTTGAGTAAGAAATCAACTTCAGGCATTTTTTTCACTACTGACCCACTAGTTTAACACTCTTGCCGCCGATTATCAGGTACTATATCATTGACAAGCGAAGTTGGCTCTTCACTCAAAAAAAAATTCTTAAAGTGAAAAAGCGAACATAGATTTGAATATCCTACACTCTTATTTAGCAGGTTCAGAGCCGTACTTTCGCAAGTGCAACCGTACTGGACCCCGATATATAAGGGGCCTAAAATATTAAAAACACGTTGTTTTTTTTAAACAGTTTTGTTAACTCACTTTTTGTTTAATTTGAATTTACATACAACATTTAATTACCTCAAAAGTCAAAAAGATGTTATGAAAGCGTCGCAAAAAAAAGAGCGAAACAGATCCTAATAGTAGCAGAATTATATAACTTTGCTAGATCATTAGATGATTTTTTTAAACGAGGCGAGAGTTCGTCGGTTTCGAACACTACTTTAATCGAAATATGCGATTTAAATGGTAAATCTCAATTTGAAAACGATAATGTTGAAGAAAATATGAATGAGCTACAACTTCAAAACATTAACCAGAACAAGAATGTAGATGGTGACTCAAGGTCCAATTGCGTCAATATTGAGAATATTATATCGAACAAGACTTCAGAAATGAGTGATAATTTACAAACGGAGAGCGGCACTTAACCAAAATGTAACTGTAATAAATTAGATCCTGCAACATAGCCTGTTGAAATCGACAATAAACAACGGATGTTTTTAAAAGAAATTAGCTAAATAAACTTAAAAGTAGCCATCCAGATTGTAAAACTCATGCTGCATTTTTAACAAACCAAATAAAATCTTATGAATTTGTTGTGCTCACAGCAATTTAGTATCACTTGTTATCAAATCTTCACATTTTCAGCCAATTGCTTCAGCGAAAAAATATAACAATTAATATTGCATTATAGCATACAAAGGCTATGCTATTATCTCTTGACGATTTCATAAACAATTTTGAACAGATTGAAAAAGAAGTACAAGAAGCATCGGTAGATATAGATGTTAAAGCACAGTTCACTGAGCGGTCTTCTTGTGATACCAAATATTAAGTAGAAACAAAGATTGTGTTGATAAATTACCAGAACCTTGTTTTGTCAAAATGGAGATTACGTAATCTCAATCTCATTGGCAGATTATCGTTATTATACAAACCATTAAAATAAAACAAATGAGAAATATTACGATACTGATATACCGAATGAAGAAATTGAACCAATAGACGATGATTGATTCAAAACCAATTGACTATGATTGATCCAATTGAATGGTTTGATAACATTGATGTACATGATCTCGTTTTTAAAATTGATGATGAGTATAACCATCTAACTCAAACGACTGAAGATAAGTTTAAAGAATCTTATATTAATAAACTAATCAATTAAGTAAAAGATTCATTGCAAGAACGATTTAAATCGTATAATTTTTTAATTAAATTTTTGGTATTCTTTTTGATAATAAAAAGCTAAAAACTATGAATACAAATGAATTCAATATTAATTGTTCAAATCTGGTCAAACACTTAGGAAATGATGTTGAAGTGCAGGAATTCAAAAAAAAACTTTCTATTTTAAGATACATTTTAGAAGATAATTATACTATTATAGAGAATTTGGAATTCATTTTCGACAGGAATTCGGAAGAATTATATTCAAATGTATGTATTGCGTATATCGAATAATTTTAACAATATATTGTTAAAATTATTTGATATACGCAATACATACAATAAGCAACGGTAATGGGTATACCCATTACCGTTGCTTATTGTGAAGAATTATTATCAAAACTAATTCAAACTAATTCAAAACTAATTTCAAATTATCTGCGTTCTACAATATCACGGGAAAGACTTTCAGGATTTACATTACTGTCGATAAAAAATGCAACCGCAAAAAGGCTAGGAAAATTGATTTATAATTTCTTTCTATAACTTTTTTTTTAGAAATAAAACCAAAAAAATGAGTTTAATAAAGTTGAAAAAAATCTTTTAAAGAGCCCCAAAAAGTTACAGCACGGCTCTGAGCAGGTTCTATTATGCTTCTACAAGTAATAACTACACACGCATAAAAAAAATGTGCATGAACACATACGTACATATATATGTACCCATAGACATTTACAAACATACACGAATACGCACATATACCTAATATGCATGTAAAAACTTTTCACGTAAAAGGCTAACACTCAACACTAAAGATCGGGCACTCAAATTTTTTCTGGACCCGAACTGTGTTGTCAAAGTGTGAACTAAACAAATAAAAAGCATAAAAAATTTAATCAAGTAAATAAATTGTTAATTAAAGTTGAAATCAACAGATTAAAAAAAAACAAAAAAAAACTCATAACTCAATTAAAAAAACAAAAAACTAACATCTTATTTGGTTAAACAACGTTAAGTTTCATGTATTTAGTTTTCGAACATTTTATGGAGGGGATACAAACCTCCTCTCACTCTCCTTCCCCAACACCTTTACTAACCAAGGTGAGCAGAGTTTTTTTAGCATTTTTGTTAATATTCTTTTTTACAAAATAATTAGAGTAATTAAAAAAAAACTAATACAAGTTATAAAGTAAGCAAATACTACTAACATTTAAAAAAAACTAGATCTAGGTAAAAATTAGGTTATAAAGTAACTATAAGTACAACAAAATAAAAGTAAAATATACACACATATATCACTTTGTAGTATAGATAATAAAATTTAATAAATATTTCCATAATATAAATATTATTGTCAAATTTAGATAATACGGGAAAGAAAAAGATTTTTCAGTTTAACTTTGAAAAGATGCAAAGAAGTAGGTAGATCAAAATTAAAACAATTTTATTCCAAAGATGGGGTGCACGATAATCAATGCAAAATTGGTTAAAATTTGTTTAAAAAAAAGGCTCATATATTATTAAAAATATTAAGTTCGTAAATATTAAGTATTCTTATTTCAGAAAAAAGATGTTTAGAGTGTGAAAAACGATCAGCAAAATTAATTGCACGTATTGCATGTTTCTGACGGCGTTAGAGAGATTGTAACTTACTTTTTTCAGTGCTTGCCCAAGCAATATTTGCATAATTCACATAGCTATGAATGAATTCATAATAAAGTTGGGATAAAACTTTTTTATTTATATAGTTTCTGGCCTTGTAAAAAATTCCAATATTTTTTGAAACTTTAGTACCAACATAATCAATATGTTGCTTCCATGTGATGTTCTCATCAAGGAATACGCCTAAAAATTTTGTGATGCAATCACTTTTTATTTCAATTTGGTCAATAAAAATATCAGGTAGAGTTAGGGGTAAATAACGTTTTTTAGTTATCGAATGAAAAAGAATCAATTTTGTTTTTTTAATATTTAGGTTAAGTATATTGCATTTGAACTAGGTAGCAATTATTTTGAGTTCTTCAATCATAGTAGTGAAGAGTTTATTAATATTGTTATCAGATAAAAATAAATTAGTATCATCCGCAAACATAATACTTAAATGATTAAAAGCTTTATGCAAATCATTAATGTATACTAAAAAAAGAAGTGGCCCCAAAATTGATTTTTGCAGAAAACCACATGAAATATCTAAAACATTTTTTTGATAAGGATTGTTAAAAGAAACATATTTTTCGGTTTGTTAAATAACTTTTAAACCATTTAAAAATTACCCCATCCACTCCATAATATTCAAGTTTATGATTCAAAATGCCATGATTTACTGTATCAAATGCTTTTGATAAATCCAAAAAAATACCTAAAGTGAATTGTGAATTTTTGAAAGAGTTAGAGATTTCACGGACGAATTGGATGATTGCATGCTCAGTAGAACCAAACTGATTTTTATAAAAAAAATTCTTCTCCTTAAAATAATTATATAATCTATCGTAAATAACTTTTTTCTAAGATTTTTGAAAATGTTGATAAAATAGAGATAGGTCGGTAGTTCTGTCTCCTTCTTTGTATATTGGGATTATCTTAGCTATCTTTAACTTATCAGGAAAAACTCTTTGTTGTATTGACGCTCTGAAAACTTTAAACAGAATATCTTTTAATTGTTCAAAGCATTCTAAGACTATGTTTCCATTTATTTCATCAGCTCCAGGTTTTTTTTTTAAATAGATTTAAACGACACTTGAAACTCTTCTAATGATAGCTCAGAAGATCGGAGCAAATGCAATCATCTATCGGTTTTAAAAAGTTATTGAACACAGCTTGGGTATTAGGAATTTTATTTGCTAGTTTGAAACCGATATCATTAAAGTATTTGTTAAACTCGTGAGCTATTATTCTAGGTTCAAAAACATCTTTGTTATCCACTCTAATTAACAGCGGTAGGGAACCTGAGCAAGTTTTTTGTTTTTCACCAATTTCTCTTAATATTTTCCAAGTATGTTTAGAGTCATTTTTAACATTTTCAATTAATTTTGAACAGTAATTCTTTTTTAAGTTTTTACGAGTTTTTTCAAATAGGTATTTGAAATCTTTGTATTATTTTTCGTTTAAAAGTGCTTGTGTTTTTAAGTAATTTATAAATAGCTTTTGTTTGATCTTAGATGATTTTTTAAAACCCTTAGTTATCCAAGGAGCATTCAATCTTTTTTGATTTATTGTTTCTTCACAGATGGGAAAATTGGCATAATACACAGAATAAAATGTTTAAAAAAAATGTTCATAAATTTTATTTGCGTCGTCATTAAAATTTATATTCATCCAATGAAGCAGTGGTATATGTTTTTTAAACTGTTCAATATTGTTTATATTATATATGCGTTTACTTATTTTATTATTAGTTTTGGTTTTAATTTTAGAATTTGAGTTGATTGATAGAAATATTGGGAAATGATCAGTTATATCTGCTTTCAATATACCTTTTTGTATATTGTTATAATAATATTATCAATGTAATAATATTATCAATGATATATACTATCAAATTATCAATAATATATGATATATATATATATATATATATATATATATATATATATATATATATATATATATATATATATATATATATATATATATATATATATATATATATATATATATATATATATATGATATATATATATATATATGATATATAATTAATGATATATATTATCAATAATAATATTATCAGTTGTAATAATATTATCAATGAGAGTTGCTGAGTTTGCTGATACTCTTGTAGGACGATTAATTAGGGGAATTGCTCCTATTTCAAATATTACCGTAGAACGGGGTGACTTTGATACGCGGGGTGACTTTGATAATTTCGTCTGTTAGTTACAAAAATAATGATTTGAATGTGAAATTGCACAATTAGAGACTTTTTTTTTTTTATTCTTGTACATAATTATATTCTGCTAATATTTTTGAAATTTTAATGATTGCGAAGTGATTCTAAATTGTGCAAATGTGTTAGGAATAACATGACTATAACAAAAAAATAACGATTTTTACACGTACCAAAAAATGCCAAAAAATCTTGTGATTTTAATTTTTTTGAAATTTTTTTTCTTTCTAAAAATCTATACTTAGATGTTCAAGTGGTGTTTTCCAGTTATAATACCACTGGAATATACCACTCGTTTTTGGTTACTCTCAATCACATTTGCAGAAAAATCAAAACAATTTTGTTTTTCAGTTTTTCAAATGATTTTTAGTATTATATATTTCAATCCTATTGTAATTTTTTAATGTTTCAAACGATTATTTCTAGTTAAAAAAAAACGTTAAAACAAAAAATATCACAAGGAGAATTGCAAGGATTATGAGAACTTATAAACGTAAACCAGGTAATCGATCCTATGCATCTTACACAGCAGAAGACTTGCAAAATGCCTTGATAAATATCTCAACTAACAGAATATCGATTTTCAAGGCATCTAAGATATATGCTATACCATATAGTACTCTGTACAACAAGAGTAAGCTAAGACATATGAAAAACCCTGGAGGACAGACTAGATTACAGCCCCATACAGAAGAAAAGATTTTACAAATTATTAGCATTCTGACAGATTGGAAGTTACCTTTAGATAATTTAGATATACGTCTGCTAGTAAAAAACTATTTAGACAGAATGGATTTTAGACAGAATTTTATAACTGCTAATTACTATAACAATGTTATTGATATATTATTTTTCTGTGTTTAGCATATTAACATCAAATTTATTTTTGTTTTTTCTTTGTCCATTCTGTAGATATATTCGATAACCAAACTTGTTGTCTAAATTTATAATTTTACCAGTAAATCTTAAAAGTTTATTAATATGTTGTGTTCTAATTTAGTAAAAGTCAAAAAGAAAGTATTAGCGACACTGTAAAGAGGGTTAAATCAATAAGCCATTAAGAAATAATAGACTATCAAAGTCACCCCAAACGACGGGGTGAGATTGATAACATTTTGGATTAAAAATATATATATTAAGACAAAAAAAAATTAAAAATATTTAATGGAATTATATAAAGGAAAGGTATAATGTTATAACGGGAAAAAAAAAATCAGAAAAAATTGTAATGAACCAGATTTATTTTGCAAAAATGCTCAAAATCCTAACAAAGTCTACGGTAATTCATAAAAAATTTTCGAAACGCTTAAATCATTCCTAAAGGTGAGTTTCCACTCATCCCTTTTTTCACGGGAAAGGGATAGGAACGGGAAAAATAATCACGTGAGCATGCGTAGTTTTTCTTTGGACATATTAAAACTTATACTACGCATGCCCACGTGATTATTTTTCCCGTCCCTTTCCCGTTCCCGTGAAAAAACGGATGAGTGGAAATTCGCCTTAACGTTATACGCAATGGTTTGCTTCAACTCCGCTACCGCGTTTATTTGTATGTCTCTCATGAGATATTAACTCAAAACTGGGAAGATAAAAATTTGCGTTATTACTTGAATCGTTTGTGTTTATCCAAGTTTCAAATTAAACAAATAATATCACAAACATTTTTAGTTACTTCTAATAAGTAAAGGAGCTTTTTAAAGTTGTGACTTACGTTTCTGATATTTACATGAAGGATTTTAATTTTTTCGCCGTTATTGGAATTAAAAAGAGATTCCTCTATTTCACTAGAATAATAGTAAAAGCAATCATTATTTAAATCATGAGAATGATTAAATAATTAAAGTTTTCATTTCTGCAACACCATCAACTCTTAAATTATTGCGGCGAGATCTATTTTCTAGATCTATATATATATATTTTTTCAAAGTATTTATTTCTTTATTGATCTTTAAATTTAATTGAGAAAGCATTTCCTTGATGTTTTGCTATTGAAAGTTAATACAACCTTTAATGTCGCTAGTATCTTTTTCTAGTATTTCAACTCGGGATTTATTAAAACTAAGTTCTTTTTCAAGTTTATCTAGTCTGTCTGATATTATTTTTATGTTGGAATTCATTATTTTTGTAAAAGTTTCTTCTTGTTTTTTTAGTAGCTTTTCAATTTCTTTTAAAATATTTTGCTTCTAATCTTCAAGCCAGTGGCGTCACTAAAGTTGGTGTCACCCATTGCGGTGAACTCTGGGTGTTACCCCTCAAGACTTTCACTATGGATCTCTTCAGAGTTTCCCTGTACTAGATCATATACATAATCCAATTCCGATAATCGCTTAATGCGCTTATGATAATCTTTAGAATAAGTACAGAAGTTACCTAGGACATTAGAAAAAAATTACACAGTTTAAGTAATTTAACTTTACTTAAACTGTGTAAAAAACTCAACTTCGCATAATTCATCATAGAAAGTGGTAAATTTTGGAACTGACACTAGCAACTCTACTTCAGTTTCTGATAGAAGACTCTTGGATTGAACAACCTCAAACATATCCGCTACTTCCTTGATCGCTGTTGATCTGATCTGAAGTTCAGAGTAAAAACAATCAATGCACTCCAGCATCGCCCTTCTCACCCTCTCACTCATCGCCCTTCTGTTTTCTTTTTGCATAGTGAGTCCAGAGTCAACTAACTTTGTTGAACTTTTTACGGTCTGCCCGTCCTAATTAATTTTAGAATATGTATATGTTATTGATAAAACTAAAAAATTTCAGAAAAATAATTATTTTCTTAAAAAAGAGTCTGTAAACCAACTTTGTAATTTAATTACATAAATTAATTAATTTTTTAATTTATGGAGGGGATACAAACCTCCTCTCACTCTCCTTCCCCAACACCTTTACTAACTAAGGTGAGCAGAGTTTTTTTAGCATTTTTGTTAATATTGGACCAAATAGTAGATTATATATACAAGTTCACACCTCCTTCCTAACATCGGTTAGGAAGGAGGTGTGAACTTCCAATTAAATGCTCACCTGGGGTGAGCATTGCCCTAAGAAGTCTATATGTTCTGTGATAAGACCATAAAGATTTCTTGGGGCACCTAAATAAGATTAAAAAAAAATAGTGAACTGCAATATACTTTTAAAAACCTTCATGTCGTATTGCTTTAAAGTTAAAGGAGCAGAACCTTGCGAACCTTATTTGCAAGTTTTAATTTTTATGTATAGAACTAGGCTAGAAAAATCCCTTAAAATATTTTATAAAATTGCGAGATCTAAAGTTTAGACCCCGCAATTTTATAAAATATTTTTAGGGATTTGGTCGACTATTAGATTCTAAACCGAAGTCTAGTCGACTTGTTTAAGAAGTGGTGGATGAAAAAAATAACTATTTATGGTCGGTAAATCCGGTCCTGTTTGTTTGTTCCAAAGTATCTAATTTAGGCGCTATCAGGAATGATTTTTTAAAGAGTTACTTTTTATGGACGGAGAGGGGCGAAAGAGTCGATTGTTTTCTCACGTAAAAGGAAGTATCTGAATATGAAATTAGCGCCCTTGGAAACGTTTATACTTTGTTAGGTATACAATAAAAATGTAAAAAAATTTTACTTTCATTTATTATTTTGATTTATCTTTTGTTACGTAAAAAGAAGAGGGTTTGAATATGAAATTAGCGCCCTTGGAAACGTTTGTATTTTGTTAGGTCTTCAATGAAAATGTAAAAGTTTCTTTTGTTATTATTATTACTTTTTTTGTTATTATTTTTGGTTATTATTTTTTGTTATTATTTTTTGTTATGGTTAAAATTATTTGATAAAATTTTAATTTAGGCTGTAAACTAATTTAAAAAATGTCATCATAACCTATCCTATCGTAATAAATAAAATCCTTTTGTATATAGCGATAAAACTTGTAAAGCTATGTAAGGTATTATATAGCTTAACGAGTTTTGTTTATGAAAATTATTTTTTGTTTATAAAAATATATAGAATATATTATATAATATATATATTTTTTATCTATACAATTTAGATAAAAAAAGTTCTTATCAACCTGCATTATTTTAAGATTAGTTTAAAAATATTAAATGTGCTCAGAAAATTAAATCTCTCCAGAAAACAAAACCCAATCTTGTACCAGATACAATAACCATTTTGAAGGTATTTTTAGCCAATCTTGATCCAGTTGAATTTTTATTTTTAATCAAAAATTGACTTTGTCAACCATTTAAGATAAGCACTTTTAATCCTTCTCCAGGTATGTTGAATAAAATTTTGAAATTGATTAATTACTAGATTTTTATTAATTATCGGAAAGAGCTCTAATACAGTAATTTAAAAGTGAACAAATTTTGAAAATTAAACAATTCTACAAAATGTTATAAGGTTTTAAGTAACAAATTTTTGATATATGGATTTATTGAAGAAACTGGTGAAAATTAAGTTTTTCTTAACCTAAATTGTTATAACTTTGTCTATTCTTATCAAAATGCTTGCAATTTGCTATCAAAAGAAAAGTGTGAGAGTAGGCTACAAATTTAAAATAGTTTTTAGCAATAGGTTTTTAGTATTCAGTGGGCTTGTAATTTATTATATTCAAGAAACTGTTATAGTTTGCTTCCAGAACACTGCCAAATATGAGAAGTGTATTTTTGAGTTAAGGGTGAATAGTGGTGTGATGGTTAAACACATTAAAAAAGACTAATTAATATAAAAAACTTTTTTTTTTAAAAGAGTATATCTAATATAAAATATAATAATTATATTTCATTACTTTACAGCATATACTAGTGGTGTATACATTGACTTAGAGGGAAGGGCATGCCTCTGCCTCTCCAAACTAAAAAAGAATTTAAAAAAGTTTTAATTAAATGTGATTTTAATAAATTTAAATTGATATTATTTAAAATAACAAAAATGAATATGGTTTTTTTTACCACATTACAAGATGCATCAAATTATCCATTTTTTTAGTAAAGGGAACATTCTAAACCCCTCCCTCTCCTTTATTCAAAAAAAACAAACAAACAAAAAACTGAATATTGATTTGAAAAAAAATTATAATTAATTTGTCTTGGCTTTTAGTAAATTATTAAAATTAAAATTTCAATTATGAAACTTAATAATAATCATTGTTAATGATAGACAGAACGTAAGCCAGAGTATCAAAATCAAATATCAAAAAATTGCAAGTCACACTACTTCCAGATACCTTTTTGCAAATCACACCACTTGTGGCACCTAATTTGCAAGTCACACAAAACTGAAGACCATGATACCTTTGTATCATGGTAGCCGTCCAAAAAATGTATTATTAGGAATAATACATCATTTTAGTCCATTAGTGTCTAAAAAACTAACAAATTTTTTTGGATCACCTTTGACTTCTATAAACCTCATTGTTTTCATAGCCAAAACAATTTTAACTGCGATGCAATCATTACAAAATAACTCACAACTTCCAGATTCTAAAGACTTCAATGCTGAACAACATAAAGTGACGATTGTGTCGAGGGTGCAAATGGTAGTCATTCAGATTTTTTGCCTCAGGTTTCACAAATTTGGTTATGGTAAGATAGTTTACTGTGACTAATATGTTTATTTAGATTTTCACTATGCTCTTCACAAGTGAAAACCTAAATAAACTGAAGCCATAAGACTTTTTCAACAGTTTTGGCATGCAATTATCCATTGTTAAAAAATACAAAAATTATATGTCCATTTCTATACTATATAATTGGTTCAGAAAGCGCTATAAAGCTGTCAACTAAATATTTTTTGGCTGCTCATAAAATTCAGATGATTTAGTTTTTGGGGCCCTATAACCAAAACAATATGGCAAAGGCTGTTTGAGGCTAATTATAAGAATTAATGTTTGTAGATAAAGGTAATATCTTAATATTAGGTATACAATTTGCATATATAAGGTGAGCCTATGCACCAGTTTGGTTTGTTTTACTAGCCGATGGTGATGCAGCGGCCAATGCCAATTATTCAACTAATGATATAGGTTGATTAATCAGCCAATGGTTAAGCCAATTAATTGGTTGCTGGTTACCAATAGCATAAGCTAGTAGGTCAAATCACTGCTGATGTATAGGTACATGTTATATATGTAATTTAAATCCTTAATATTATTGTAATACCCTTATATAAATACATTAAACCTATTATTAGCCACAATCGGCTTATAAAATTAATTCAATGAAATTTATCATGTGCATAGAAAATGCATAAACTTAAGGGACTTTCACATTTACTAGACATAAAAACTACAACATAGTTTTTGATATCAACAAACTCTACTTTAAAGTGTGTCAATCTAATAAAAAATTATATTTTAATAAAGTTTGGCTATCCTACTTCTTAAAACAACTCAAAGTGAAAATAAATTCAAAAAAAAATAAAGACAACAAAACATCATTTAACCAGAAAAATGCAAAGTTTTAAATATATGGAACAGAATTTTAGCACAAAAATCGGTTCTGTAAAATGTAGATTTTGGCATACCTACCTTATCAGGTTGTATGTTTTCAAATTGCATAAATCGAACTAATCAAATCAATCAATTTGTTTAAAACGATATTTCTTTTTTATAAAACAATAGAAAGCTAATATTCCTCATTTTTTATAATAAAACGCTTAAACATTTCATTTGTGAAAACTTTTTTGTAATTTTTCCTCTAACAAAACAATTTTAGAACTCATAAAAATAGTATTTTTTAAAGAAACTAATGAACAATAAACAATTAAGTATCTCCCTTCAAAAAAAAAAAAATAATAATAATAATAATAATAAATCCTTGACTGCAACTGGTTAGTTCTAGTCCTTTTACTTCAAAAGTAGTTCCATCACCACTGATATAACAAAATATATTGTGTATGTATGTCACTATTTCATAGTTATGCATAATTATTTTAATATATTATATGTTTTATGTATATATAATATGGATATATATATATATATATATATATATATATATATATATATATATATATATATATATATATATATATATATATATATATATATATATATGTATATCATTGATAATCATGCATACAATGGGTTTGTGTGTATTATATTTTATATTTTTGGTCATAAGTACTAGTCAATTGAAACAAAATTATTTCACATTTAATGTTTTTAAACATGCAGTTATTGGATGCTGTATATTTTAGTCCTGATTGTTTCTAGAATGAGTTTCTAAAATTTATTAGAAAAGAAATTCACTCTAAAATGAGTGACAGTTTTTGAGCTTAAACATCAAGTATAGCAATTGTTCTAAGTATTAAAATTTGAACCCATAAAATTTGATAATCTAATGCAAATAAATTGATAAGAAAGTAAATATAATTTCACAATGTTATATATTATCATAATATTATCAAAATATTAAACAATTATAATGTTATTAAGCATTATTATGATAAAATTTATTATTAAATTTGTAGGAAGAGATTATGATTAATCGAACCAGAGACATAAGGTAAGAATTTTTTAAAACTATATATGCATTTGTGTGTGTATATGTATGCATATATATATATATATATATATATATATATATATATATATATATATATATATATATATATATATATATATATATATATATACACATACATATACATATATACGTATACATATATATATATTATATATTATATATATATTTTATGTATGTATGTATTTAGGAAAATGGATTTCAAAATGAAAAGTTTCAAACCCATAATATTTTTAAAAAATCTAAAAAAATAACCCCTACATAAAAAAGCATGATCAGACAATAACTTTAAAATTTGAATACTAAGATGAAATGGTCATTTAATCTTAGTTAAATTAAAATGTTGCAAACCAAATATTTACTTGTAACTTGTTATATTTAAATTAGTAAAAAACAAAAAATTTTACAATAAGTAAAATTTTCAAAACTTCAAATAAAAACTTTGTTTACTAAAGTATTTGTTTGAAATATTTACTTGAAAACTTTAAATAATTAATTTAGGTTTTTATAAACTTAAAGAACTAAAATGATAGTCTTCCTTTTTCTATAAATTTAAATTACATACTTGTTACTTCTAAGAACAAATTATTTGCAATTGATTTTAAATGAAGAGTTATTTATATAAAACAATTTAAACCTTCATTTTAACAAATTAATATTATTTTCAGTTTTATGTAATTTTTAATAATTATAAATAAGAAAATATAAAAACCTTCTATATATTACTTCATAATTAAGTTTTAGAATTTTTTTTTTTATTAAAACTCTTTTCTGTGGTTGTTCACTGTTATTAATTTTTAAACTTTTTTTTGTCTGCTTTTAGATGTTTTAACTAAATACTTTTCATTTTCTCTTTTTTTATGCTTGGTTGTTGTAACTTTGCTAAAACAGATGTTTTTTTTTATCTTTACCAATTTTTATTGGTAAATTTTTCAGAAATGCATTAAATAGAGTGAAATATTTTATTTATAAAATAGCACACAATTACCTTCCAAACAAATCTTTAAAAAAAAAAGCAGTAAATAATTGATAAAGCTTTACTGAATTCATTTAAATAATTTATAATATTTAAAAAAAAAAAAAACTTTCAAGCACCTAATATGTTAAATGATATTTTGAATGTTTTTTTGTGATTTCTTTTTTGAAATATATTTTGATTAATGATTTCTTTACATAAATATATTTTATGTTTTTATGATATTTAACAGAACAGCTTTTGAAATTGTTTGTAAACTTCATTAGTATACACTTAGCATTTTTTTGTTTAAAAAAATCTTTTATAGTTTGTCTATTTTGTTTTTGTGCAAATACAGATTTTGTGTTCAAGGAATTATTGTAATGTAAATAATACTGTTCACTGTGTACATCAAATAAACATAGTTGTTGTAAAAATAATGTAAACACTGTATACATCAGAAAACATAATTGTTGTAAAAGTAATTATTTTAATGTAATTAGTACCATTCACTCTATACATCAGATAATAAAGTTATGTTTAATCTGACAGTATTGCTTATGATTTTAAGAGAATTTTAGAAATTATCTACTTTTAGTTTATTTTTGTTTATATACTTGTTTGTGGTTATTCAAAAATTAAAAATTTATTAAAATGTGTTTAGTTTATGATAGGTGGTATTTTACAACAGAGTAGGTATTATTACTGGTAGGTGATATATTGTTGCAGAATAAGTATTGTTTTATTACTGATAGGTAATGTTTTGTTGCAAAATTAGTATTATTTTATTGTTTGTTAGGTGAAGTTTTATTGCAGAATAGGAATTTAGTTACTTTGTTAGGTGCAAGGTGATGGTTTGTTTATGAACTTGTAATGTTTTATTTTAAAACAGGTCTTTATCACAGGGGGCATTGTTAATTTATTTATTGGTGTTGTTTTGTTCAAACAAGAATTATGATTTATTCAGGAATTTAACCTCAAACAAATAATACTCTGTTTCTTTATTTCAGAATGTTTAGTCTTTTACAATAGAATATACAGTCTTTTAAAATAGAATAATACAATTTTATTCTAGGAGTATTTTATTGCAGAAAAAGTTTTGTAATGTGGTAGTGGTGCAGTGGCTTTTTAAGCAAGAAGATATGAGTTCAAATGTCCTTGTTTGTAGAGATTCATTCTTTTGAGTTAAGGGGTTTTAAGACTGTAATAACATACATAAGCAGGGCTTTATATATGCGTTGGATACTGGCTTCATAGTATTCAATACTTGCTACAGGCAAGTTGTCACAGTTTGCATGATGATTTGCCTACACAGTCATCAAACCATAAGTTGTCTTATCTGGCAGAATGACTGGTGGTTTGTTATCCCCTTTCCCAGTCCCCCCCTCAGCCATTGTGAGGTGAATATATAAAAATATATGTGAAAAAATATATATATATATATAAAGTATATATAAAGAAAATGTTTTACATAGATTTTCATAGGTTAAATAAAATGAATATCTTTATAAAATAAGATTTTTTTTCTTTGTAAAAATATTTTAGTTATAGAGTAATTAAGAAATAAATCTTTATGAATAATTATGGATAAAATACAAAGACATTTATATGAAAATAAACAACAACATATGGCAATGTTTGATTCATGGGTATTGAGAGGGTAACAGACGGTTTTTATTATAAGTTACAAAACTTGTGTTGTCTTAATGTTTATTTATAAAAATACCTTATTTTTTTTTAGTCATGGTATATTTGATACAAAAAGTGCATTTGAAACTTTACCCCCTCTTCCTGAAAAGTATTATGAGCCTTCAGTTTTAAATATCAAAGAAGAAAACTCAGATTTTTTTGATTCTAACAAAACTCCTACTGACAACTCATCTGCTTTTGAGCAGTTTAGTCAATCATGGTCCGATAATGGAGAAATTTTTACTGAAAGAAGTAGTGTTTTTTCCTGGCGTCATGATGATGTAATAATATTTATTTAAACTGTTCAATTTGTTGTTGGTGTCTTTTCATTAGCAACTCTTTATTTTAAAATTTTTTTATAAACAGGAGTTTGATAGAGGGGCTACTTCTCAAGTCCAACAGATATTTCTTGATGTAGACAGTTGTTTATATGAAAGCATGGAAACTAAGCGTATATTTTTATTATATTTTATTAACTAAACTTTTTTTTTCAATATTTCGTTTTAGATAAAAGAAATAATAGCATTTAAAACGGAAAATCAGCGTTTTTATCGCAATATTTGTCGTAAAAACGTAAAAAAACATTTAAAAAAAATCCTCAAATGTTAATTTGGGCGGCACCAAAATACGGTCGACGCTATCAAAAACGGTCTAGAATAGCCCCTGTATGTGTATATATATATATATATATATATATATATATATATATATATATATATATATATATATATATTAAAAAGTGCATCTTTGTCTACTTTTAGCCAATGCCGATTAGTACAGGCTGATACCAATGCATTGGCATTGACCTGTACCATAGGCCTGTATTTTTTGTAAATTTGAATTTGTACCCTTTTATTTTTTACTAATAGGGCAGTTGGATGTGAAAGCATCCAATTTTTATTAAATGCAACCCTAATTTGCATTTAATAAAAATTGGATGCTTCTGATTTTTACACCACTCAAAGATTTTTAAAAGTTATGAACATTCCCAAAATTTTATCATCTAATTCCAAACGGTTTTAAATATAAGACTATTCAAACTTTGCCTTCAACCGACAAAAATCTGCTGTTTTAAAAAATGGTTTTGGTCATTGTTTCTATTCTGCGTGCAATGGAAAGCTGAAAATGTGTACACTTACATATTTAGAGGAAAGGAATCCAATAAAACAACTTAAAATATAAAAAAAAAACATAGAAATAAAAATTCCTACCCCTTCCCTGTTATCACATCAAAAGGTGAGAAACTGGAAGTTCCTCACCTATTGGTGTGATAAATCTGCATTTTTATAATTTAACTCACCCACCATAATATTTTAATAAATTTTTGAAATTTAGGATCGGATTTTATAAAGTTACCAAGGAAACAAAAATTAGAAAATAATAACTGAAATTTTTTTTTAAGATTTGAGATACAGTTTCTTTGTTCATAACAAGTAAAATTTAACAAACGGGGGGTCTTAATAAGCTTAGGGTGGGTGGGAAAATTTTTCGAAAATTATTAAACATCAACTTCTGTGTATTATGCGCTCAAGACCACCTTTTTTTCCTAAGATTTTTCAATAATTTCTGTTTTTTAAAGTAACAAAATTAAGTAAATTTCACCATATTTTTTTTCTGTTTAAGAAAAGACTACTTTCCAATTCTTTGTAACAACTCAAACTAAATTATTCTGGACATCTAAAAAAATCAAACTACATCTGTATTTTTGTAAATAAACTTGCCTCAGTAAAATTGCAATAAAGGTCAAACATACAGGTGTTACGTTCTTTTTTAAAAATTTAAAAAGTACAAGTGTGTATAAGTGTACACATTTTCAGCTTTCCATTACATATAGAACAAAAATAAAGACCTAAACCATTTTTTAAAATGGCAGATTTTTGATGGTGGAAGGCAAAGTTTGAATAGTCGTATCTTTGTAACCGCTAGGAATCAGATGATAAAATTTTGGGAATGTTCATAACTTATTAAAATCTTTGAGTGGTGTAAAAATCAGCAAAATCTGAAACTTAGGGTTTCCTAATGTGTTTTCACATGGAATCGCCCAATGTAAGTTGATTTCAATAAAAAGCAGCATATAACTATTTTCAAATATATTTGATATAATAATATATTAACGATATTTTGTTGATCTATTATGGTTAGCATCATCAGGTAATAATAAAATGTTACAAAATAAGATAAAGCAAGCCATTTAAAAAGAAGACATTAAAAAGCATCAAATATAAAAACCAATTAAATAATATAATAATGATGTCAGTTAAATTTTTGTCAAAATGGATCCCCATGTTCTTGTTTTAACATTATCCCCGTCATCTTGATTTAGAACACCTTGCCCAATATCTCATATCAAACTCTTGCTTTGTTAATCTCCAGTTTCTTATCCTGTATTCTGGAACAACTACCAAGGTCTTAGGATTTAGCCAATCAAAGTTACCACAGCATGCTCTAAAATGTTCTGTGGCTCCTAAACTCAACCTTTTTTGATTCTTACTAGCTCTTTGGTGTTCTGCACTTTTTGAAATAATTTTCTTTTTGGTCTAATATATAATTTGGTCTAATATATTTTTAATATACAATATATTTTTAATATATTTTTATACATATAATATATTTCTAATATATTTTTAATATATAATATATTTTTTGGTCTAATATATAATTTCTTGGTACGATATAAATTATTTTGTACCGATTGATATAAATTATTATTCCGATCGATATAATATAATATTGTACCAATCAATATAAATTAACTACATCGAATGAAACCTGAATTTCATTAGGGCCTACCTTCCATTCTTTAGCATCATTGACAAAATTTCTTGAATTAATTAGTTGAGTTATATTTTTATTTAATGTTGGTTGGATAATTTTAACCAGATACTCATATATAAATAGATGTAAGTAGAAAATCATTTCAAGAACTGCAAAACATCAAAGAGCTTATAAAAATCAAAAATGGTTGAGTTCAGGAGCCACCGAATATTCTAGAACATGCCATGGTAACCTTGTTTGGCTAAATCCTTAGACCTTTGCAGTCATTCCAGAATACAGGATAAGAAAATTAGAGAATCCCTGGAGATAAACAGAGCAAGAGTTCGGTATGAGATAGGTATTGGGGAAGGTGTTCTCAATCGAGATGATAGGATTAAGGTTAAAGCAAGAACTTGAGGACCCATTTTGACAAAAATTTAACTAGCGTCATTATTATATTATTTAATTGGTTTTTATATTTGACGCTTTTTAAAGTCTTCTTTTTAAATGGTTTGTTATATGTTATTTTTGTAACATTTTATTATCACCTGATGACGCTGACCACAATTGGTCAGTGAAATATCGTTAATATATTATTGTATCAAATATATTTAAAAATCGTTATTTGCTGCCTTTTATTGAAATCAACTTACATATTATAAACATATCCTATAACAAGAATATGACTTTAAAAATATATATATATATATATAATATATATATATATATATATATATATATATATATATATATATATATATATACACACACACACGCACATATAAAATGTTAAAATGTTTTAATTGGATTTGTGATACAATTGTACAATATGGATTGAATTTTTTTTTTTTTTTTTTTATTTAGGATAATTTATTAATTTTTTTATTAATTTTTTGTTTTGTTTTAGTTTCAAATGATTTAAACAATGAATGTGCAGAATGGACAAAATCTTTTCCATATTTAAGGTATGTTTTAATAATTATTATTAATGTTGTATAAGTGTATAAAATTGTGAAGAAGCTTTTATAAGTTGAATATTGTTTTCTTGACTTTAAAATGATTGATACTAGATTGGTTGGTCATCAGCTGATGCCTTCAAATGATTCAGGAACACATATGATAGAAGTGCATTCAGAAAAAGATAAATACAGTGAAAAAAATAAACAACATGAATCAGATTTTGCACAAGACCCGTAATATATTAAATTATTATGTATTGCAGCAGTTTTTATGTGTTTCCTAATTTAGTTTTGATTTTCTTAATATCTTAATCAATTGTTATTAAAAATTAACTAGTTTACTTTTCCCTAATTATAAGGGGAAAAGTAAACTAGTTTTTTTTCTTCATAAAAATCGATTTTTTTTTAATTTTCAAAATATTTTTTCTTAATTTTTATATATTTATATAATTTAAAAAATTCTCAATAAAACAAAACAAAACAAAACAAAAAAACAAAAAAACAAAAAAAAAAAACTTTCTTCAAAAAAGTAATTGAATTTGAAGCTAAATGGTTTACTATATATATACCTGCCCCAGCTACCCCTATATATATAAATATATATATATATATATATATATATATATATATATATATATATATATATATATATATATATATATATATATATATATATATATATATATATATATATATATATATCATATTAGTGTTTTTAATAACCTTTCTCAAGTTGGAAAGAGATTAAAAAAAAAAGTTAGAACTTGAATAAAGAGTAAAAACAAACAAATAAAGAATATAGCAAAACAAAATTAAATTTTAATTAAAAAATTTTGAATATAAAAAATTTATTTATAAAAGCAAATTTTAAAAAATTTAACTGCAAAACCACCTTTTTAAAGGATGATTTGTCTGAACTGTCTAAAGTCTGAACTGTCTAGATTAAGTAAAATAATTTTCAGACTTTGTCTGAAAACTATTTTACTTAATCTAGACAATTCCTATTCCTAACAAACAAAAAACTAGCACCAGAACTATTTAAAAAATTCAGTTTAACTTTTTAGTTAATTTAAAAAAGATGCAATGTAGTTTGGATGTGTATATACTTAAATGCTGGCCTCGATTTCCATTAAGCAACTTTTTATT